CTTGAGAGCCTGCTTTCTGCTTTGCCATGAAGGCTTAACCAGTAAACAAAAATGATATAGCTATATTGTTTTCTGTTTGAATTTCTGGGATGAGAAGTTCTCATTATTTACATGCAGACTACTGTCTTTAACTTTGTTGTTATTATCACCTGATTGCCTTCTGACACATGCAAATAATAGTCTGTATGTAAATAATGATAATTCCTGATGAAAACTCATCTTTGTTGTTGTTAGCCCAATGCTTTAAGCCATTGTGCCCTCCAGTCTTTGTTAGTTGCTTGTCGCTCTGTGTAGCATTCAGAGAATTTCAAACTGAAACATTTTGTTTTATGGGACAATAACCAAATGGATTAAAGTAGCAGTTTGTGAATTTAGTGACATAGTAATTATGAGTTCAATACCTGGACCAGGCAGTGCATACTTGGATTCACTGGGAATATTGTGAGTAGTAACTGAACAGTACTAAATAAGAACTAGACAAGATATGCCAGCTGAATGAGAAAAATCTATCCTCATAGATTAAATAAAAGTTCAGTTTGAAATTCCCTGACAGTCACTTTGATCGACAAGCACCTCATGAAAGCCAGATGGCACAATAGCCAAAATGTTGTGATAATAACAACAAAAATGAGGACAATAGTCTGTATGTAATAATGTAAAATATTTACATTTAATCTTTGAAGATGTAGTAGTGGCTGGAGAATAAAAGATACACGGCTTTTTTAAATATTGTTCAAATCTTCTTGATTTAATAAAACATTGTCATAAGTCAGGCTTCCAAATAGAAATGATACAAGTTCAAACCTTAGGGGTTTAGTGTTTATTTCCAATCTCTGCTGCTTATATAACAGTTGTAGAATAGTAACCTATGAGTTTTGATGAAAAGCAACAGAAATCAGATGAAAATGCCAGTGAAAAATTAATAATAATTGAAAATACTTCATCTAAGAAATTTTTAAGAATATTCCATCTATGAGGAGTGTCTACCTAATTCTACAAATGACTTTATATATTAATGCATCATTCAGAATTTATAGGACACTTCTTGGCCAAATAGATTTTGAAAGGCTTCTGAGGACAGAATAATTTTGTGGAACACTTTGCACAGCATTTTCCATAGTATTTACTTTATCACCATTAAAAGTATATATTCCTGTTTCTTTTTCCATTTTAACTGCTTCTGAGTATTTAAATATCATATTCTTAATGGACACTAGCATACTATGTATTTCAAATTTGAAGTCTTTTTGTAGTGTATAAATATGATATCTGAAAATAATTCAGTAGATTCATCAGACCCTTTGATCCTGATGAGCAGTATTATACAAAACTCTTGAGTTGGTAAAGAAATAAGTTTGTAGACCATGGGAGCTGGAGGGACAAGGTGGCTCTTGCAGGGTCAACACCTTGATGGCATGAGATTTAGCAGCAGTTGTTTGAAATAGCCTTACTTTTATACATTTATTCTTCTAATGTTTATAATCCTTTGACTTTTGATACTAGTTTTATCTCATCCAACATGCAAAAGATAGTTTGGGGCTTGCTTCTCCCCCACCCTTCACTTTTCCTAGAAGATCCCCAGTTTCCAGTTTTGTTTTTTGTTTTTTAACACTATTGGGGTCAGCTCAAGGATACAGTTTTTTTCCATTATCTATAGTGATGGTCTTGAGAAGTGGAATAGCACTAGAAATCTTATGAATTCAGGTGAACACTTTTCACTATCCAAGTCAATGTTAAAATGTAGTCACTTGAATGGTTTATTATAAAGGTATATTTCTTTTCTTTTTTATTTTATTAACACTTCCACTACTATGGATGTACTTATACATCTTTATGAAACTTACATTGCCTGCTGTCGATGTAGATGTTTTCAAGACATTGTGAAATGTCAGTCCCTTAATGCTCATGTTATAAACCAACTAGTGCTTAGTGCTATTTCCAAACAAATGTAGAAATATAGTAGCATACAATAACACATGATTTGTGATGTATTTTTTTTTTTATTATTTATTAGGGTTACTCTTTAGTTAGTCCGCAGATTATCCAACTGAAATCAAAATGGTGATGCTCATGGGAAATCAACATCAACATGTTCATAGTCATTTATTTCCAGTAAATGGCAATTATCTGTTCTTTTCAAAACATATACAAAAATAGCTGTCATATATGGCATTCTTTACTAAAGACCATGTAATAGAGCATCTCCTAGTTAGAAGTGGGAGACTATCTGAAGTCTCGTTGTTCCACTGAGAGTAAAGATCATTAGTTTTGGTTTGAGTTTGTGGTAGTTTGCTGCTGTAGTTGGCTTAAGAAATTTTTGCTTTTTACATTTAGAATAACTTTAACTTATTTAAATGAAGTAAGCATAAGATTTACTTATTTTATTTCATTTAGACTTGCTACATAATTTTATGTTTTCATTGCAAAAAATAAACTTTTTTTGTACAAAATTGACTAAAAAAATGTAATTTAGGAGACCTGATCTTGTTACTTGAAAGTTAATTTAACATTTTTCACATAAAGTTAATTTAATATTCTTCTCTATAAAATTTTTAGTCATAAAAGCAAATCCACTAATGACCAACTTTATTTATTAATTGCATAATCTGTATTTGTTTCTAATAGATGAAAAAATATGTTGAATTTTTATCACACTTCTGAAATTTAACATTTTAATTTTACTTGATTTAAAAAAAATAATTTATTAATCCAATTTTTTCTAATTTTATTACAACTGTTACAAAGTCTCTCACAAGAAAGTTAATTTTATTGGTGTTTTGTTATGTTTAATTGTTAACAGACTTCTCTTCCAAAGACTTTTTTCTTCAATTGTTTTTACACTGAAAAAATTAGCAAAAAATGCTATTATTTGTTACATAAACTTTTTTCCTCTATCATATTGGTATTCAGAACAACAAATATATTGATGATGAAATTTAATTTTTTGTGAGTAGTTTTTAAAAGGTATTTTCTTTTTCAAAAAGTATGTTGAATTTTAGTTTAGTTCATAGTTTAAAAAACATAAAATAAGAGCATGTTATATTTTATACAAAATTGATGAAAAATTATTAAGAACATTGCTATGTAAAGTATGTCATAATTAAATTCAATAAATTTAATCCAATACTTTTAGATATTATAAATGAGGTGTACAAAATGTTAACCCTAATCCTGCTGCTAAACAATACATTTTAAGAGTCATTTTTTCTATAATTCTATAATCAAAGTTTATGACAAAATGTCAGAATTCATAGTTCTTATATGGATGTTGTTTCATTAAAATTGTTTTAAGGTGAATAATTAATTCAAAGATTAAAGTACATATAACATAACAGATCCAAAGCTCCATCAAATTATATATTAATTGTAATAAAAACTTAGTAAAGAAAAAATATACCAAGATAAAGAAAATTGATTTTTTGAGCCAAATTATGCTCTTAATTTCTACTTTTTACTTTAAAATTTCTTTAACAACTACAGCAGCTGACTACAACAAATTCAAACTGAAACTAAAAATCTTCACCCTCTGTTGGACTACAAAATTTGAGATTGGCCTTCAATTCTGAGTAAGAGATACATTATGATATGGCCTTTGTAAAGAATGCCATAGTCTCTTGACAATCCCAATGTTATTTGGATTGGAAATGGCAAAGTAGGTTAAAACAGATGTGTGCATAAGAGCATAAGTGTGAAGGTTTGGCATAACCAGCTGCTTAATCAGACCTGGCCTCTCCAAGTGACTGCCTAGCCCAAGTGGGAGCCAAAGTGGAGTGCTACAGTCCATTCTGGTATCATGAAACACTGAACCACCAAGATCATGTCCTCAGGCAACTCAGGTCACCACTAAGGGCCAAAAGGTGGCTCTCCATTTTTGTTTTTGACATCTGCCTAGGATGCAGTTAGCATCCTAATCAGAAAAGGGTTTAGTTAGAGATTTTTTTAAAGGAATCTGTAGTCTTTTTGGTATGTAAATATGAAAGTGGTATAAATGTACATACAATATCATTTTATGGTTGTCATATAATGGCTGACTGGTCATATCCGAATATGTCTATCTACTAGGGCTGCTAGTCAATCCCTGTTACAGACACCTTCTCAGGCACATGTATGTTTGCTCAACAGAGCACACCTGCAGTTTATACTGCAACTATGATGAGTGGACCTTAGTTACAGTTTCTGAGAGAGAGATAGAGAATGCATTATCTGTGGTGTGACCAACAGTCTGAACAAGGCCAGCATGCTCAAACCCTCAGTCATGATGACTTGTGATTTCATGCTAGCACAACCATCAACAGCTTTGAAATAGTTCCATCTACCCAATATACTGTAATCACAAGACACATAAGCAAGAAATAACTGAGGAGAAATGTAGGTCTTGATATTTATGCTGGTTGACCTATTTCCCTTCTCATTACAACTTATCCTGTTATTAACTATTCAAATATCAATATCCATGCTTCTCTTATACAAAGTATTTATATTTCTATATATTCTGCAACAAGTAGTCAAAAGTAGACTATTTATCCTTTTCCAAATTATTAAATTGATATAGGATATATCTAACTTCTCTTACATTCATTATAATATATTAATATACAGGAATCCCTCAATTAGTGCAGCTAATGTGTACATCGGTAACTATAAAAAATCAATTTTCAATTACTATGGTTAAACTGAAGAATTTTTACCATACTAATTAAGTATTATGTTTTCACTAATTGAATTTTGGTATATAAAAATTTTAGCGCACTAATTGAAAACACATTAATCAAGGGATGCCTGTAGTTATATATAAAAATTAGAATGTAATGTATTGTGTATAAAACTTACCAGAATTCTTAATAAATAAATATTTTAAAAAATCAGTTGCTAGTGTTTTGATTTAAAAAAGTATGGTGCTGAGAATTTTTTCATGCATACTTACATCTAAAATATCTTACTATCCATATTAACAACAACATATGTCATATTCATAACATAAAAATTAGAGAGGTACTCACGGTGGATCTCAAATCTTCCTGTGCTAAAATCTTACTCGTCTGATCTTCTGTGAATTGTACAACTGTTGCTATCACTTTGGCTAGGGTCTGCAAAAAATATTAAAAAAAAACAGATGATATAAACAAAAATTTATGGAGATGAGAAAAGAAACTGTAGATATAAATTTTTGATGTTAAGGTGCAACATATTACTAGATGAATCAATTAAGTTCTGGATCTTAGTCAAAATAAATGAAACAAAAACAATGATTACACTGATAAAAATATATAAAATAATTCTCATTCTTCTTTTGAATTCTAGTTATCTAACTTATCTCCAGTCTTATTTTTATAATCATTTACAGATAATGGTTAATTTTACTCTTATCTTCCTCTTGAAGATACTAATTGTTACTGTAGGTAAATAAAACTGGTACTTGGCAATGAAAGCTGGATAATATTCTCAAAGATGAAGAGACTTGAAGCAACAGAAATGTGATTCTACAGGAGGATGCTGAGAATATGATTAATTAAACATGTAAGCAACACCAAATTTTTAGAGAAAAATGTAAACAAAAAGAACACTTATACACACCATCATAAAGAAACAGTTGAAATCTCTAGGGCACATGATAAGGAAAGAAAGTTTGGAAACTAACACTCACAGGACATACTGAAGGTAAGAGAGACAGATGAAAGAAGCACATAACCGACTTAATGGTTGGCAAAATGGAGATCAGGAGATACAGCAAAAAGAAATATATATTAAGAGCTACAAAGGACAGGAAAATGTGGAGAGCCATGATTACCAACATCCTGAAGAGACATGGTATATAGAAGAATTTATGGCAGTGAATTCTGGACAATCTCATCACAGATGGAGAAGAGGCTTGAGGCAACAGAAATAGTGGTTCTACAAAAGGATGCTGAGAATAACATGGACGGAACATGTGAGCAATGACAAAGTTTTGGTTTGGTTGTTTTTGTTTAGTGTTATATCAACACCTTTATGGATTATTTAATGCCAAAATTTAAATATTTTGAATGCAATTTTATTTCTTCAACTATAGGTATTTTGTACATAATTTTACACTTTCAGTGTAAATGTATCTTAGATATATAGTTTGTAGATTATCTATTGTAGGTGTTATATGTTTCGATATAAACGTATTTTTATAAGGTAGGACATTATATTGGTTGCAGTATTTTCAAATAGTTTTCTCATCTAGTATTTATGTCCTATAGTGGGTAAGTGAGTACATTCAGCTAAAATGTGTTTCATGGTGAGTGTAGCTTGGCATGTTGTACATGTTGGTTGATCTTCATTCTTTAGCAAGTATGAATGGGTGAGGTATGGATATTTACTTGACCCCTCACTGAGTCAGGTTGTGACACAAGGTCAGTTTTTAACGTGGGGACCCGAGTGTTGGTCAGAGCTGGTTTAAGCTAGTCATAGCTGGTCTTAGTTTGTCATAGCTAGTCAGAGCCATGATACACCAGCACAGGGATGGAGCCCTGTGCTAGGTATGTGTGTCCTATGTATAGTGTTAGTTCATCTTTTCTTCTTTCTTTAGATATTTGTTTCTATTCAACTAGGATTGATTTAATTGTGAGAAGCATTGTTGTCTAGAGCTTCTAACATTTCTTTTGAATGAAACAGTTTATTTTACTTTCCAGATTTGTATAAGGGATCTTGAAATTATTACCAGGAGTTTCATTTTGGGCAAACTTTGAAGTTGAATCTGCTTGATCAATCTTTTAATTCCCATGTGGCTTGGGATCCAGCATAAAACTATTTCTTTATTGTTGGATATTGAATCCTGCCTGCATAGCAATTTCACCAGCAGTGGGTTGTCAAGATTTTTTTTTATTATTGCTGTTATAACTGATAGGGAATCAGAGAATATTACATATCTTCTTTTTTTTTTTTTTTAGATAAAATCAAGTGCTATGTCTATTGCATAAATCTCTGCACTGAAAATTGAAGTTTCTTTTGACAGATGTTTCTTTTTTATTTACTTATTATATACTACTGCACATCCCATTTCATTTTTGTATTTTGATCCATCTGTGAAGATGTATAAGTGTCTGGAATAAATGAATTTTATTTTTTCTAATTCTTCTTACAATATAAGTGGATGCATATTTGTTTTATGATGTTTGCAGAGTTTTGGGTTTAGTTCAGGTATTCTTATGGTCCAAGATGGTATATTTGGTATGATTATAATATGGATTTCAAATAGTGTCATTTCTGTAACTTTAATTTCATCTGGAATCCAAAGGTTTTTATGGATTTCTCTTTATGTTGGAATAGGTTTCTGTATTTTGGATCAAATGTGATATTGTTTGCAGAATTAGAGGGGCTTGTTTTTAGTTTTATATAGTATTGTATGGCTAGTATGTTCTGTCTATGTTTTGGTAGATTTTTGTTTGCTTCTACATATAAACTTTCTACAGGAGATGTTCTAAATGGTCCAAGCATCAATCTTAAACCTTCATGGAATGTTGGGTTAAGTCTTTTGAGATAAGATTTCCTTGCAAATTGGTATATAAAGTTTCCATAGTCCAACTTGGATCAAATTAATGTTCTGTATAATTTGAGTAGCATTTGCCAGTCTGCTTCCAAATTTTTATGGGCCACCACTCTCAAGAGTTGAAATGTTTTATTGCATTTTGTTCTCAGATATTTTAGGTGTGGTATGAACATTAGTTTCTTGTTGAGAATTATTCCCAAGAACTTGTATTCGTCTACCATTGGGATTTCTGTCCTTTGGAGTTGGAATTTTGGAATATTATGCAGTTTATATTTATTAAAAAATGCATGCATTTTATTTTAGTTTTAGAAAATCTAAAACCATTATTCATTGCCCATCTGTCTATTTTATTTGTGCATTGCTGCAATTTCCTTTCTATGGTATGGATATTTTTACATAGGTAAATTACAGTAAAATCATCTATGTACAAAAATCCATTTATACCTTGAGTGAATTCTTGAAATTTTATTTATTTTTATACCAAACAGTGACTAACAATATACTCCCTTGTGGCACTCCTTGGTTTTGGGGATTGGATAGAATAGACAAGACAAAGTTTTAGAGAAAATGTAAACAAAGGGGACAATTATATGTAACATCAGAGACAGTTGAAATTTCTAAGGCACATGAGGAAAGAGGGCTTGGAAAATTTGACACTCACAGAACCTATTTTAAGAAATGTATTGTACTTCAGGTTCAATATGTAGAATAACATGTAACTTTCATACCTCTAGGATATTTTTAGTCAGTTGATAATTTTTAGCATGCCTTCATATAAGATATCAAGGGAAGAAACCACCACATGAAGAAATTTCTACAGCTTCAAGAAATGGATCCTCACACACAAAATAACAATGTGGAATACACAGTTCAACTCTAAAGTATAGGGTAGAGAGATGACCAACTTTCTCTGCACTAAGCGTTGAACATAGACTCGTCCATTTGTTATGAGTAAAACATCTGTGCATAGGAACAGCTGTCGCAAAGTGGGTTGCAAGGCATAGCATTGAGTTGTATGCATTGCCGCACTGAATTATGGTACTTGTTATTATTGCATTATTAATCTATGTCCCCCATGTGATTAAATCTTTTCTTCACTAATCTTTTGTTCCAGTATTTTAAGTTTTGAAATCATATTTATTTTTGGTATATGAATTTTTTGAAACTGTTTCTAAATCTTTGATTGTCTTTCAATCATTCTGCCTCACCTGCTAACCTCTTCCAACACACCTATGAGGCATGCCACACCATTTGGAAATCACTGTCCTGGCATATGCACTGATTCTTTCAGATGTCAAAATCTCCAGTTATTCTTCAATAGAATAATTCAGACATAAAATTTTTTTCATATAATATCAAGTGTTCCAATGACTTACCTTTGTTTCCCGACCCATCATATATTCATAGAGAATATTTTTCAAATACTAAAAAAAAGAAAGAAAATAAAATTAAAGAAAAAACAGCATAAAACAATAGTTTACGGATGAAAAAATAAGAGCAAAGAAAAATTACTATCCTACTTTATCCAAGATATTTTGATAACTTAAGCCTATTATGTCTGCTACTTGTAGTTAGAGACAATATGAAGTGGAATAAAAACCAAAGGAAGAAATAATTAGCTATGCATAAATTTAAAAGACAGCTGTTGGTTAGATTTTGTAATCTAATTGGTAAGACAATATCAGTCTTACAAGCTACTAAAGATGAAGGATACAAGTTCAAATCTTTCTTTTTTTTTCATTTAACTAATCCATGATGCTTACTAAGCAGTAAGAAAAAGAGGAAACAATTTGGAAGAAAAACTAATAAAATGACAGTGATTCATTTAAGAAATTCAAACAACATTAGATCATGGCGAAAGTTTGTGCCTAACTTAAAAACAAAATTTTACATAGTCCCAAAAAACATTTATTAGTTAAGTACATAGTCTCCATTGTTTCTAACAACTGTCTCCCATTGTTCTACAAGCTTGTTGATACCATTTTCATAGAAACTTTGTGTTTTTTGCTGGAAAGAGGTTGTAAAGTAGTTTTCGACTGACTATAGAGTGTCAAATTTTTTTCATTTAAATTGTTTTGTGGAAACCGGAACAAATGAAAATTCAAAGGAGCCAAGTTAGAGAAATATAGTAGGTGCTAGAAGGCTTCCTATTTCAACTCTGTTTCTGCAAAGTCTGTTTTGCAACATGCAGTCTTGCATTGTTGTCGTGGAAAATGATACCATTTTGACTTGCTAAAATTGGCCATTTTCATTGAACCCAGGTTTCTTCAAATAGTGAAAGGCGGATGACATATCAATTTTCAAACTCTTAGTAAAATTTTCCATTTATTCTACATGATGACAAGCAGAGCATCTTTATTGATATAAGAAGAGCATGATCGATTGTTTAATTTAAAATCGCCCTGACAAAATCTGCCAAATCACATTTTGAGCATTCAAAGAGCTGGAGCATGATCCAAATAAAACTTCTGAATATTTTTTTTTTACAGTTCCAACATTTACTCCTTTTTGAAATTCATAGAGTATAATATCCTTTTATTCTTCCATCTTTAAGGCATTCATTTATGGACAAAATGTCAACATTCAACAAAGTCTGATTTGCAAGTGATCAATGAAAAGTTTAAATCTAGAACACACCAGAAATCTGCACCAAAACAAAAGCCAGTGTTAAGTTGTGGTCATTTTATATTAGCAATGAAAATCAGGTACAAACTTTTGCAATGATCCGATATTTTACATTTGGATTTCTTTTTACAAACAAGCAAAAAAGCAGTATATTCTCCCATAATTAAAATTTCCTTGCACAAATGTAAAATAACAGTGTATATGTAAATATTAAATGTGTGTTTGGGAGTCACTGGTGCAGAAAGTAGGATAAGTGAACATAGCTCAAATTCCAGCCAATGTTGTGTTCACTTTTATATAAATACCCTTGGGAAAGGCATAAATCCATATTCTCTCCTCCTAGCTATGAGTTAAATAGCAGGGTAAACTAGACTATCCTTGAGTGACAACCAATTCTAAAAGAATGAAAATTTGAATTCCAAACCAAAGAGCAGGTAAGAGAAAACCTCTCCACTATCTTTGCCAAGAACACATGGCAATTCACAGATAATAACGGAAAAGCACCTGTGGAAAGCCATGATCACTTATCTCCAGAAGGGAGATGGCATTTTAATTATTGATTCATTCATTTTCTACAGCTTATTAACCCTTTGCGGGTCATTTAAAACAAGAAAATATTTTTAGATTGTAAGAATTTTTTTGGAGATAATGATTTAGTGATATAATTTGTACTAATTAACCCATAGCTGGAGGGAAAAGAGGTAATTTCATACCTTTCCCAAGAGTATTTGCATATAAGTGAATATAACAAACTCAATGGTAATTGGAACTTAGTTCTCTGATTAAGAATTCTGAGCCAATATTCATTACACCACTCACACATCCTCGCTTACAGAACCTGATATTCCCAGTCACCCATCTAGATACAGACCAGGCTTGATGTTGCTTAACTTTAGTGATTGTACAGAAACTGGTGTTTCAGCATATAGCCATAAGCCTGGTATTTTAAGATGAGATGAATATATAATACACACAAGTTAAATTATTCTTTATCTTTTATTCAGTTAACATTTCGCTTACCAGTAATTACAACAGTTAAAATCCATTTACAGCAGAATTCAGTAAATTTAAATAATTTATACAAGAGTGCTTATTTGAATAACAAGGGAATTATTTTACTAAGCATTCTAAGCAATTTTCTAAAGAAGTAATTGATTTTTATTCATTAATCTGACAGATTTTATCACTTTAAACATTACTTTTAGTAGATGTTCAGTTTATTTATTAAACAGTATATTTATTCTCGTTTAATAGCCTGAATATTTGCAAAATTTTATTAAAGAAGTCTGTGTCCGCCTGGGGAGAGGGAGCTATCACTAAATCTGAAATGCTCTAACAAACTGAGCTGCAAAGTACTCAAATATGAGTATCCACTAAAAATAATGTTTAAGTTTTCTAAGTAAAAAAAAAAAAAAAAAAAGGCTTTAAGTTTTTTCTGTTTAAAATAAACATTTTCAAGTAACAAAACTGGATTGAAATCACACATTTTATGTTTGCTGAAGTAACAATCTGGTAATACTTAATTTTGTTATACATACCAATGTCTAATTTTACAAGTACATCATTAATATATTTAAATATATGAATTAGCTTGCATTTCTTTACTTACAGTTAGATTTTTTTAAACATTGATGCAAGAACTTTTTTACATTGCTTCTAATATCAATGAGGTAATTTTTCTCTTCCTACCAGTGACAGACTGGACAGGGTGTCAGTTTGTCTGATAACAAGTGGGCTCCTAATATCAAGCAGACCCCATATATCAAATAAAATTTCAATAAAGAATCAAACACAGACAACTGTTTTAGTAATAAAAAGAAATAAGTTTGTAAAGTCATCTTCCCAATATCAGTTACTCAAATCCAATGTGAGAGAACATTTTCAAAGTCAAGGTTAAGAAATTCAGACTGAGGAGAAATTGTTATCCACTAAAAAGGAACTATCAAATGAATTAGATGCAGAAGCAATTATTGGCAGATTCGCACAATTATCTAGTGCAAGATTTTCAAGTCCCAAGATAAATAAAATGGATTGTGACAAAAAAAGAAAGAAAGAAAAAAAAATCATGCAAGTGAAAGCAAAGTGCAGAATATAAAAACTCTAAATGTTACACAGCACTCATAAATCATCGCTAGTTTTTCACCATGGTAAGTTTGTACTATAATATATATATATATATATATATATATATATATATATGTGTGTGTGTGTGTGTGTGTGTGTGTGTGTGTAGTCTGTTCTCATTGAGTTTATGTATCTTGTTCATACTTGTTGCAAACTGAGTAATGGAATTTTCTTCTAATGTTTTTCTAAAAGTAATAATTTTATATTCATACAAATAGATAATACAAATAGATACATGCAATTCCAATATGTGCAAATCAAAAGAAATATACATATAAATTAGTGATGCTAAATAAATGAACCTAGTGAACTGAGTTTGTCTTTGATTTATTACATGTATAATGGGTCGCAATACAAAATGTTGTTCTTGCTGTGGGTCACAGTAAAAAAAAGTTTGAAAAATGCTGATCTAGTTAATACAAACAATTGTTCATATTATAGTGGAATGTATGTAATGCTTGAGCATTATATGGGCACATGGCTGAGTTGTTAGAACGTTAGCATTCTGACCATGAGACCTGGGTTTGAATTTCACCATGGTCAATTTGTCAGCAAGAAGACCTCCTGATGTTATCGAACTGGAAGGGGATGATCCTAGTGTGTGACACCTTTGGAAAGTGCCTGAAAACCATATCATGGGTTGACCTAAGCCTTGTGAGTGAAATTGGGTCAACAGAACCCTTGGGTTTAATTGTTGTGCTAGCACAAAGTCACAAGACATCATAGCTAAGGGCTTGAGCATGCTGGCCTTGTTCTAATTGTTGATCATGCTAGATAACAAGCTCTTTACTAAAAACTGTAACTAAAGTCTGCTCAGCATAGTTGCAGTATAAACCACTCTGTAGGTGTTGAATGCACTTAAGCAAGCGTCTGCAATAGGGAGTGGCTAGCCGCTCTAGTAGACAGGTATCCTCGAATACAAGTATCCAGCTATGCATTACATGCATTACACTATAACTGTGCTTTTGAACTATGTATTAATATGTAAATTGTGTAGTAAACTATCTAAAAATATCAACCAAATTAAAAAAATAAATAAAAAAATTATAACATTCTGTATTTACATTTGCTCTCTACTGCTAGTAATATGTACAGTACAGGTACACTGTAATTATGAAGAAATACATTTTTCCACCAAAATTTTAATTGTACCCTCTTTTTCCCCATATGTATTCAATGAAAATTTTATTTTACCTGCCACTTACAATTGGGCTTTGATCAGGCCTTCCTGCCATCTATAATCTTCAAAAATTTAAATGCAGTATCAATTATCATCATCTGTTTTCCAGAATCCTGTTCTTTTATTGTTCTTTCTCCTCACTAATGTCTTCTCATTCTTTTTGATTCCCATTAAACCTTTGTGTCATTAACACCCTGCTTGGGGTGAAATTGTGTGTGCGTGAGTGAGTGAGTGAGTGAGTGAGATTAATACAAATAAAGTTTGTCACTTCACTTATTGATGTTATATTTTGTACCTCAAATCTGGAGTTTCATAAATGAACCATTTTGTAATTGTTCCATCCACTCATTAAGAGGTTTCAACAACTGACTGTAGATTCTCATTTTCGTTATTTTTATATTAAGTTAAAATTAATTTTTTTCTCTGTGTATGTGTGAGTTTGTGTGTGCATGTCAGATGTTGCGGTTATTTCTCTGTGTTATCATTTTTTTTCTCCTGATACTCTGTCCCTGTTCTTTTCTCTTCTTTTTTTCTCTTTTCAGCTCTGAGTGCCAAAGATAATATAATAATGTCATTCCTGGTGTCACAGACAGGACTTTGAGGTTTTAGGGTAATTTGTGTCTTCAAATTTAACTGCTCAATGAAGCATCTTTACAAATGAATTAAGAAATTATCCTTACCTCTAATTCTGTAGGCTCCCTCAGGAGTGGACCATTGTAATCATTGTCATGGTGGGAGGTAGGGGTATTATCTGAATAGGATTGGTGAGACATATTTAGAACTGATGGGCCATCAGCTTTCACCACATTTGTGTTCTCCATATCTTTCAGCTGGAAGGAAGCATTTACAAGTTAAAATAAAGAAAGAAAGTTACTTTGAAGAAAGATCATTTTTGATTCATTAAAGAATTAATGTACCATATTTTCTTGTGTATAACACAAGAAATTTTGAACAAAAATTAAAAGCAAAATGGTGGAGGTCATATTATACCCAAGAACACATTTTCATAAATTTTTACTCAGCTTTAAAAAAAAAAAAAAAGCTCTTATTTGAAACAGCAACATTGCAAATATACTCAGTTAGCACAATAGATGAAACAAAGTAGGCAAGTGTTGATAACAATTATTTACAAAAGGCATTTGATATGTTGGTAATATTTGTTCTTTGGAAATCAATGTAATTGAACATCACCGAAATTGATTAAAAAAATCAATATAGAAAATACACAAGATCTATCATGTTAACATTAATATTACAACAAAGCACCTTTCCCTGAAAATTTGAAAATAAGTTTTGAAATGAAAATTAGGGGAAGAAACACACAATGGCTAAACATCTGGTTCATTTCTATTATTTAATATTCTGAAAAATTAAATATTTTAGAGAAATATATGTACAGCATTAAAATTTTAATGGATAATACAACTTTTATTTTTTAAATTTACATAGAAATATCTATACTCAAGGATGTAGTTTATTCCTTGTTTTTAGGACCAGAAATTGTAACAGATGAAGTAAGATCAGCATTGGAGAAGATGAACAAGAACAAAGAAGCAGGGGCCCGATGAGATTGTAACAGAAATGCTCTCAGCCTTAGATGACTTTGGCATTGACAAGATCATAGAAGTAATAAACAAAGTATACAACAGTGTCAATATACTGGAAGACCTTACTAAATCCATCTTTATAACATTACCTAAGAAACCAGGTGCAAATGAATGCAAACTCCATAGGACAATCAGTTTAATGAGCCATATAATTAAACTAATGATGTGAATTTTGATGAATAGAGAGCAAAGCAAAATTAGACTGGAAACAACAGTGTTATTTTGTCAAGGACATCGGAATGTGAACTGCAATATTCATGATCAGAATGATATCAGAGAGAGCAATACAAGTGTAGAAGGATGTGCACTTATGTTTTATAGATTGTGCAAAATCATTTGACAAGGTATGGTACAAGGAAATATTTGAAATGCTAGGAAAAGTAGATCTATTTGGAAAATATCTTAGAATAATCCAGAACATATACTGGGAGTAAATCACCTGCATATGGATAAATAATAAATTGAATAGCTATACAAAAAGAGAAACAGGTGTGAGACAAGGATGTGTCATCTCTCCAGATTTATTGATTCTCTACAGCGACACTATCCAAAGGCAATTGGAGAACCTACTAGGAGATATAATCTTAACAATATAAGATACGCAGATGATACTGTGTTGATGGCCAACTCAGAAAGGAAACTACAGGACCTCTTAGACATGGTGATAGAAGAAAGCAAGAAAAAAGGACTAACCATCAACTGTAAGACAGAAAATCTAGTCATAAAGAAGAGAAAAAGTCCAAAATGCAAGTTACAAATTGGAGATATATACATCAAGCAGGTGTACAAGTTCAAATATCTGGGAAGCTTTTTAACAAAGGATGGAAAATGTGACACTGTGTTCTGAACACTCATTGGACTACAGAAAGAAGCATTCTAAAAGCTAAGCAAGGTGCTGAGAAATGGAAAAATTTCATTAGAAACAAAAGAAAAGAGTGCTGGATTACAATGTGATATCCATCCTCTTATTTAGCAGTGAACATTGAATAATTTCCCCAAGGATGAGGAAAAAAACTAGAGGAAGCAGAAATGTGGTTTTACAGAGAGTTGATGAAAATTCCACTCCTATTTGTAATCAGGAAACACATTACTTTAATGAGAAAGGAAAGCTTGGAAAACTTAACCCTCACAAGGAGATATCAAAAGCAAAGAGATAGGAGAAGGTAGTATCATTTACGTTAAAAAAAAGTTCAAAAAGGATATAATACAGTGGTATTAACAGAAAAATGGACAGGGTGTGTTAGCTCATGAAGACCAGTTTAGATTGTGAAGAAATCTGGAAGATATTGAAATGAAGGAAGAGCCTGATGTAGAGGAGAGGGATCTGGATTATCACCAAGAATTGGAGAATGAAGGGAAAGGAGAATGAGTGTGTCTAGTGATAATGAGGAATGTGAGGATGATTCAAGTGAAGAAAATCCGGTAAGACTGAGAAACCCCATAAAGAGGAATCTAGGATTACCATGAGACAAGCAGTACACCTCCTGGAGTGGTTCATAGAAGTAGCAGAGCTACCAAGATATATTATGGTTAGAGTGGGTTAAAAAAATGTCCAAGATTATCTCATCTTTCACTTCAAATCTGTGAAAGTGCTAGAATATAGAAAAAAATGAAAAATATCAAGTTCTAAGTTTTTCTATGAAATATACATCTAATAAAATTTAAATGATAATTTCCTTGTTTTAAATATCAACATTTAAAAAAAATACTAGATTAAAAAATATTTTTTTATAAAATCAAGCCAAAAAAAAAAAAAGAAAGAAAAAAAATAGACTGAGTGGTATAGAGGCGATAACACTCATGTTTAACATCTGCTTCAGTGAACTGAATTTCAAATGTTAATTTTTTAACTTCTTAAACTAATAACTTCCATTCATACTTATGATTTTTATTGTAATATTTTATTAAAGTTGTTAAGCTCAAATATTTAATGATACAATGAGTGAATTTCCATGGGTATTTTACAGTTGTAGAAATCAACTGTTTCCATGGGTATTTTATAGTTGTAGAAATCAACTGTCAAATTTCATCAGATAATTCAAATAACCATGAAGTTTTCACGGGTATTGCTAGTTATAATAACTGAACAATAATTTCAAGGTTCATGCCTTTTCTACTTTGTAAACTATAAGAAAAAATCCTTGTCTTTAAACTTCTAATTTTATAAGCCTAAGTTTATTGCATTTCTAAGATTTTTTTAGGTAATTTTTTAATGGGTCATATTCATCATGTGAATCATGGCTCTCCACAACTTCCTATCCTTCATAGTTCTAAGTAAGGTTTGTCTCCTTACTATCCTTACCACTTCCCGTTCTGCCTTCCATTTACACAAGCTCCTTAGATAGGCTACTCTCTGTTCCTTTTGCTTTCAATATGTCCCATGTGAGTGTCAAAGTCTCTAAGCTCTCTTTTCTCATTATATATCCCAGAAATTTCAACTGTTTCCTTCTAATTCTAAATGACATTTAGAATCAGAAAGAGACAGATGAAATTTCTGGGACACAAAGGCACAATCTATTTTTGTTTAAAAAAGAAAAGAAATTGCAACAAAATGATAGAACAGCAAAATAAAAGTTTAAATGTGTTATACACCAAATTGGTGTATACTAAAGAAAACCTATGGTAAATGAAAAAACAGATTGTTTTATCAATTTAAAAATAACACAGAATCTAACCAGTTCAGAGAGGTTCAGCAAGTCCTAAGCATTTCAGATAAAATAATTGTTTCCCAAAGACAATTTTTTAAAAAGTTATGGTCAAAAAGATTTTTTTAAACCTTTTCTATAACCTTAATTCATCCATCCCTGAAGCATTGCCACCCCAATAAGTAAAAAAAATAAAAGAAATGTAAACCTAAAAAATTGAGCAGTCTTGAAAATTCCATGTTATTTAGTACAGTTACTCTTGTATCAAGTTGCAAATACTGCATATGAAAATAATATCTTTTCATAAGAGGGGTGAGAGAAAAATAAGATAAACATTTTTTTTCTACTATTCAGTGGAAAAAAAAAATCTTTAAAATGTGAAAAAGTTACTATGCCATTTTTACTAGCATTTAGTTATAATATACGTAAACCTTAAGTGGCTATGAATTTCATATTACGTCATTTGGAAAAAAAAAAAAAAAAAAAGAGTAAACAATGAATTTTTTTCTTCACATCTGTTCCAGAGTTTAGGTAAAATAAGGTCAAGTAAGTTATTTGCTTTAAATTATATATAAAAAAATATTTAATATTTATATTATTTATTTTTATATATTCAAATATTTTTGATACTATTTAAAGTCTTAGAGAATTACATACTATTTTAATAATCTTGCATGCTTAAGAATTTACTAGTGCAATGCACAAACTTCAGTGTTTAAAAATACAATAGCTTTTTTTTCTTTTTACAATGATGTTCATCCTGTACAAGGTCTGAAAGCCATTTGAGGTAGATGGTTACAGAGTAAGAGGCACAGTTTATGCAGATATGTGGAGAAGATAACGGTTAATCATAGACTTGAATAGGTTAAGATTATAGTGATCGGGAAATCATACTCTTGAGAGTTGTTTCCACAAAGCAGTGATTCCGGGAAAGAAACTACTAAAGTGGAAGTTACATCTTACAAATGAGATTGGTTTGTTACAATGTACATGGCATAGTGGGTCTTAGCCATGAAAGTTAGAACTGAAAGAACTAAGGAATGTACTTCTTCTGAATGCTTTCCATAGGAATAATTAGAGTAGCATTAACAGATGGCAGAACAAGGTTTAAGAGAGATAATAAAAAGACAAAATTTATTAAGAACTACAAGAGACAGAAAAGTGTGGAGAGTTATGATCACCAATGTCCTGAAGGGACATGGCACATAGAAGAAGAGAAATCTGTCAAAAAAATTTTTCTGGCATTAGACTCAAATCAGAATAAAGTAAAAGGTCACATGATTTCAACAAAATAATTCTGTAAAGATCTCTCTCTGTGAGGAGGATACAGTTGCCTTTCTAATGTCCAATAAGATTAATAAATGCTAGAATCTTAAAGGAAATAACTTATAAAATTTCACTATTCTGCAATGTTTATTCGTTGTAGATTCATTAAAGTTTATAATTTTTATAATTCACCCCCAAGCAAGGTGATAAAGCCATTAAGGAATTAGGGGGTTACTGAGAGTTAAAAAGGATGAGGAGACTTTAGTGAGGATAAAACAACAGGATTCGGGATGACAGAAGATGGCAATGTTGCATTTGAATTTTTGAAGATTGTACGTGGCAGTGAAACAAGAAACTGGAAGAGAGTTTCAGAGGCAAGAAGTGTGCAAAAAGAAACTATTAGAATAGAACTTATGGTTACAGTAAAAAGATGAGACCTACTTGCCAATCTAGTACTATGCTTAAATTACCAAGTAACAAGGAAGAAAGCTTAGAATCATTGCCATGAAAATATTAATAGAAAAGACACAGGGAAGCCACACCACAGCAGTGGGAAAGTTGAGATACCAGATCAGGACCAATAATATTACAGACTCTTCTTGTCCCAGTTATCAACTGATGATTGGAAATTATTTTCAAGATCAGCTTCCAATTCTACTCTGTTGACCTATTGGATTTACTTTTATGACCCAAGTAAATATGTGCAGCTCATGAACTGAATAAAAGAGATTATAAATAATAGTTATAATTCTAATTGTTTTTTAGTACATCTGTTAAATATTAATTTTAGACTATTATTTTTTAGTGGCAGTGTATTTTAGCTCAGACCTTCTGAGGCTGACCTTTAAGGTCTGATGATAGACAAAATAGGGATGTCGATTTTGACTGGCTGAGCCATACATAGGAATCAGTTAAGGTTTTTTGAGAGTTGCTGTTTGGACATCAAGCTAACTAGACATATCAGATTTCATTTGTGCAAACACCTTCCCCCAGTGGGGAAGGGTCTTTCGAGAGTTGGTTGTTACACATCAATCAAATGGATGTGTGAGATTTCGTGTTTGAAAGCGGTTATCTAATAGGGGGTGTAGTAACCCCCACTTGATAGAAGATGTACCCATCGAAGTGGTTAATAAAATAATAGTTAATTTAAAAGTTCTCTTTGTTGATGCTTTTTCTCTCCGAACTCAAAGAACATTTTGTGACACCGACCAAGAGAAGAGGAGGATTGAACTAAAACAACCAGCGGTTACCAGCCAGACAAGATGAGACCAACCAAAAACACCCCCCACCCAGTAAAGGGTATACAACATAAACATTTTTTAAATGCTGCATTCTTCTTTCAAGTTGCCTCATGTCAATTTACAGAAAAAACAAGAAACTGTAACAAATGATCACTGACCACTAGACACATCATGATCCACAACACATTGAAAACAATATCGGGATTAGTTTGCAAGCAGATGTTTAGCAAAGTTTATCTTTTTGTTACCTTTTAATCGACTACATAATACATAAATTAATATTTTTAGCTTGTGGGGGATAACTTATCTGAGGGCTTTTGAAGGTGAAGATGCAATTATAGTGATGAATATGAAGAAATGTAGTCTCAAAAATAATTCAAGTCAGCACAAAATGAATACAATATTAGCAAGGAAATCAGCAAACTGAGAAGTTCAAATTAAGGGAAATGCATCATAAGAAAATATTTTAATTTTTGGAAGCAGGAATTTATCCAGAATTTATTCATTTTAGAAGAATATAATTTAAAGTTACTTTCTTGAAAAAGAAATATTTCAGTTATAAAATGGCAAAAATTCTGATTCCTATATTCAGGTATGTAGGCTCAATAAAAAGGATCACAGTGTGATCAAAGGAAATGTTTCAATTTCACTACCATGATAAAATGGAGACATCTTGTTAATTATGCAATTAAGTACATGTAGAATCACATGACCAAGTATATACCACATGCTGATAAGTTTTCTTTTACTTGAGGAATATATATATATATATATATATATATATATATATATATATATATATAGTGGTAAATATACACATACATATGCAAAATATATAAATATATATACATAGGTGCATACACATACATGTATATTTTTTGAATAAAAAATTTCAAGAGAATAGAATCCAGGTAGAACTCAATGTCCAGGACAGAGTAAGGATATAATAAAAAGGCTTAAACACTAATATTAGTGTTTAAGCCTTTTCATTATATATATATATATATATATATATATATATATATATAGGTGTAACAGAAATATACTCCTAGAAACACCTCCTACATAATGGTAAAACATTAAACATTAAAAAAAAAAAAAAATTAAACAAATTAAATTAAAAAAAAAGTTAAACATTAAAAAAAAAAAAAAAAAAAAAAACTGGTCTTAATTTCTAACTTCTTTCCTATACCAGTGTCCCCTGGAAAAGAAATTGTTATTAATTTTTATTGCAATATAAATTCATCCTCACCTTCTGCTGTAATTCCCGTTCACGTATCCGTGTTTGTGCTAGTTCTCCATTCAGCTGTGTTACCTGAGCCTAAAGAAGAATAAACAAATAACAGAGGCTTAATAATAATTTTAGTATAGAAAAATAGTCTTTATAAGTATACTAAAAAAAGTATAATTTTCTCTTTAATTATACTGTTAATTTTGTTTAAAGTACAGAGTGTGGCAGAAATACCTCACACATAATGGTCAGCCATTGTATATGCTTTGCAGCTGTTAATTTTAAATTAGTGGTCTATACATAAACGTGAGAAAGTTGTATTGTTCCATTCTCCTACATCATGAACTTTATGAAGAATTGTTTGCACTGAAAACATTGATTTTTGTTCAGTCACCAAAGTTAAGCAGTGTCAAGCCTGGTTACTACTTAAATGGGGACAGGTTGAGAACACTGGGTACTGTAAGCAACCTCCTACAATCCAAAATATTTTGGGGCTTTAAAGAACCCACAAAGGATTGATAAGTCATAAAAAAACAAATCAGTCTCCACAATATGAAGATTTGTATCACACACCTAAAGCATAATGAACAGAGAACTTATTTTTATCATATAATACAAATTCCTAAGACTGAAAAATAAATATAATCTAATACTTTCTAATATACACTATTATCATCAACAGTTAAATGTAATAATAATTTTTTTTATTTACTAATTTGATGCTTTTTCATATTGACAAAATGAAAAAGCCATCTATAAATTTTTATACATCAAGAAAAATTTTCGGGAAATCCATGACAATGTGGAAAAAGTTTTATGTGAGATATCTTTTGTCTTTTAGGACTTCCTTGGACTATAGTGATGGTTGCATTAATGTGACTACACATGTGCACAATAACAAAAGTGATAAATACATAAATAAAACGGAACTAATGAAATTAGAATATATACCCAAAACACATATTTAAAAAAAAAAAAAAAAAAAAAAAAATTAATTTCAGTGTCCACTCTTCTGTGTATGTGTAGTCACATCAATATAAACATCACTTTAGTCACTGATAACATACAAAATCTTTTTCCACTTTGTCACAGATTTCTCTAAAATTTACTAATTTACAATCAAATCCTGTTGACCTAACTACACAAAAATTAAAACCTGGAAATTTATCTACATGAAAAAAATGTAAAAGTCTTATAAAATTTATATTAAACTACGAAATAGAAAAAAATCACTTAGAAAAAAATATTAATTTGTCTAATTTTTATAGATGAATTCTTTTTTTGTATTTGTTATGTCTCTTCTGATATAAGCAATAACAAAAGAAAATTATATTGAAATCTGTTACCAATGACAACATATTTTGTTAGGTCTTTAACTATTATAAGAGGTTGCCTGGTTGGTTGATTTTGTTTAGGAGTATATTTACCTCTATGGGTTATTTAATACCAAAATCTAAATATTTTGAATGCAATTGTATGCTTTCAACTACAGATAAAATAGACAGTGTGCGATGGATAAATTGTCATCTAAATCATGCAAAAATGAAAATAACACTGACATCTCATTTTAACAGATATATTTACCAAAATTACACAAAAATATCTTGAAATACTAAAGAGTAAATTTATTCAATAAAATCAGCATTGGCTTTAACCATGGCCTCCAGAAGACTTCAGAATCTCCTGTAACTCTTCTGGATGGTCTTCTTGTTTAAGTTGGTGAATGCTGCAACAATCCTTGCCTTCAGTTCATCTTTGGTATTACAAGGAGTTTTATAGGTCACTTACTCAACTGTGCCCCCACATAATAATCAAGGAGGTTGCAGTCTGGGGAGCTAGGGGTGATTTGGTTGCAAAAATTGTCTGACAGCTATGACTAGGTTCTACTGCTTGTGTGGCATGGTGCAGAGTCCTGTTGGCAGACATAGGGTCTTCCAGGGCAGCACTACTTCCTCAAGATGTAGGCTTCTGTGTTGAGTCTGAGACCCTCACCAACAAATTCAGGAGTTATTTTCTCAGAATGATCAGAGTGAGTTTTCCAAGCTGCTGTATCTTCATAATCCCCATTAGACTCATACAACTCTTTCTGAATCCTCTGCACTGTCCTCAGATCGACACCCAAACATTCTGAAAAATTCATATTGGGGCTTCTGCTGCAAATGCCAAGCAGTACTGCATGCCGTTTCCAAATTTCTGGGAGAGTGAATTGCATCATGGTGCTCTTTTTCCCAAGATGGTGCCCAACTGACCCTACTATACTATGCAGTCGACAAAAAAAAAAAAAAAAAAGCAAACAATAAGTATGTGTGAAATTAAAAATATAAAATGGCGACAATTTACCCATAGCACCCCGTATTGTTGGTAATACTACTGTAAATAGATATTATTGGTATTTGCTCATAGCTAGGACCCAAACAGATGCTGCCACACTGAGTCAGGGTGGACCTGAAAGCAATTAGAGGTGGTTTAATTAGAGGTGGTTCCATGCTACTCAAAACCTGTAATCTCCTGATTAGAGGCCTTGTTGCCATATGTAGTTTGTCATACCCAGGACTTATATTATTATTAAAGGTTTTTCACATGTAAGTTTTTAAATATATAAATATAGATACTACCCATAACCATGTGGCTCAGGAGATCTGTGGAGGACCAGTGTAGTATTTGTTCACTCTGCCTAGGATCAAAATGTTGCTTCTTTATGTGCTGTGTCCCCTCAGCATATAGGCAATCATGGTTTTTCACAATTCCCTGATTCTTGTCGCTTTCAATAAACATTGTCCTTTTGCTATCTTTCCCAAGTCTTGTTTGCCAACCATTTACTCAAGCTCATCAAGCATGTCATGCATTGTCTTCTTCTGTCCCTCTTATTTATCAGATTTTCAAAGCTCTCTTTCCTCATCATATGCCCTAGAAATCTCAACTGAGGTTAAATATTAGTTTCTATTTTCTCCAAAACATTGTCGTTATTGTCCAGCCCATGGTATTTTCAGCATCTTTCTGTAGAACCACATTTCTATTGCTTCAAGTCTCTTCATCTTTGAGGAGATTGTCCAGCAATCACTGCCATACAAAAGGACATGGTGAAATAGTTAACAAATTTGGAATAGAAACCCATAATGAATGCAGAAGAAAATGGGTCCAATGGTGTATGGCAAATGACTGGGTAATAGCCAACACCAAACTCCTGCTAGAATATTTTTTATTACCTGTTTTCACTGCCTAAATATTTCCAAGTTAATGCTATTATACAGCTCAAGCAGAACAATGATGGCATAATGGATTTATCACTTGTCTGTTTACCTTCAGGTTGGGCATTTAAATCAGGACAGGAATCACTCATTTATTTTATATCATTATCTATTTACTTTATCACAGTAAAAAATTACAAAAAAATATAGTGATACATGGTGTATGATCTTTTTAAATATTTTAATTGAATTTATTTTCAACATTCCTATGTAGCATTCTTCTTAAAATCTTTGATGAGATAAAATTATCATCGCCATGTTTTTTTTTTTTGTTGTTGTGGCAGGATTAATCTTACTCAAAGCAAGGTAGGTCTTGCCTAACAGAGGATCTTAGTTTACCTCTCCACATACACCAGTCAACATACTGAAACTGAATAGTTTGAGGTAAGGATTTCCAAGTCTAGATGCACTTCCTCACACCCAACTCAGACAGTCATGGTAGTCCAAGTACACCAAGTGTTTTTATCGAAACACCATCTCAGAAGCTTACCATTCAAGGATTGAGACTCCTTCCTAGCCTCATATATATAAGTGGATACTTGGGACCCTCGATGTAGTGTAATGGTTAGAAAGCTTGTTTTGCTAGATCAATTATGACTGAGTAGTGAGTTCGATCCTCACTGGATGCCCCATACTTTCAGCCTTGTGCTACATCTAAGCTGTGCTTAGAAAATCACTATATAAGTGGATACTGAGATCAACATCTACTTAAGACAGTGTTTCATGCTTGAATGCAATCTTCAGGCCATCTTCATCTTCTTGAAGATTGCATTCAAACATGAAACAGACTTAGTGTTGATCTCAGGGTACATTTTTATATTTACATAAGCTCTATCTCTGATATTGAGCACTTTTACCCATAAATATAGCATACTTTAAAACTATATATATATATATATATATATATATATATATATGTTGGCTGTTGGATTCTATAAGAAGTTCATCTGCTCTTTGACAGATCTTGTTTTTTATCCTGTGGGAGTGACATGCCACCCACCTCACCAGCAGTAAAGCTAGTGGGGGAACTGATTTAGATGCCACAGATGTACTGGGTTACATGTTACCAGTTGTGGGCCTAAGCCTGTCCTGATCCCAACTTGAATAATTTATTTGAAATAAATTCTTTTTCTTTGCAACTAAATCATTCAAGGGAGCTAACCAATACTATGTAACTGTTTTTGCTTTTACATCAATGTCAAGTTTGTTCAAGATGTAGGTTATTATGATCTTCCACAATTTCCTTTTCTTTGTTATCTGTGAGTTGCTATGATTCTATTGGGAAAGTTAGTGAATTGGTTTCTCATTGCCTTCTCTAGGGTTGGGAATTCAAAGTTTTTCTTTTCTTAGACTGGTTGCCACCCAAGGCTATGGAGATCAGTCTAGCTTGCTATTTAAACTTTAGCTGTGGTAGGAGATAAGGATTCATGGCTTTTCCAAGGCCATTTGTGCAAAAATGAATGCGCTTATATGTTACATAACTCACACATCTACTCCTGTTTGTTGCATAGGGATGTTAATAAAATTTTTCAACAAATTCACATATGGTTCGGTGCCCCTGCTATTTACCTTGAACTCCTTGATAAAATCAAAGGAAGAATCAGTAATATTATTGGTCCAGATCTGGTGGCTCAGCTTCACTCATTTTCCCACCACTGTAAGGTTGTCTCTCTGTGCCTTTTCTGTAAATACTTTATGGTAATTGTTCGGATAAGCTCTTTGTTATGGACTTTATGAATTTAAACACAGTACTAGACTGTCATTGAGATCTCATCAACTTACAGTTGAGTTGGCTAGATGTAACAGCAAATTCTATGCTAACAGTTTCTTTTCTTGCACTTCTCTATTGTGGAACTCTCTTCTGGCTGCATGCTTTCCAGCCAACTTTAATCTGCAAAAATTGAAATTAAATGACAATCTATCTACTGTCCTCCAGATTACTCTTTCCTTTTCCCACTCATTATTAATGCTTCAGTTCCTAATTCTTCCACACCCTGTAACCCCTTGTGTCTTTGTGGCTTTACTGCCTTGCATGGGGTGATACCAATATAAAAAAATATTAATTTCCAGCAAACAAAACATTTAAAATACAAATAAATTAAGATAATATATTATCTCTAAAACTCTTAGAAGTGATTAATTGAAACAGAAGAATAAACATATATCTAACCTGTAAATCAATGTTATAGAGTTCCAAATTTTGAATGTCAGCATTGAGGTTCGGGTCAAGGCTGGGGGAAGCAAGCAAAGGTTGAGGTAATTGGCTCTGTGACATCTCATATTGGTTGCGTAATTCAGCCATTTCCAATCTGTAAGGAGCAATGATAGAAAAGAGAAACATCAATTTTAAAACTTTTTATATGATGTAATTCTGAAATCTTAATATATCAATTAAAAATTTGGGTAAGTTTCAAAAGAATTTGTTAAAAGTCCAAATAAAAAACATAGACTATTACACACTGCAATTAGTGTAGATCTATGTAAAGCATCTACAATACATTCTCTTCTATGTGACATGTCCCTTCAAGACATGAAAGATCACAGCTCTCCATAACTTCCTATCCTTTGTAGTGCTTAGCAATGTTTGACTTTTTACTATCCCTCCACCTCCCTGTTATGCTATCCATTTACACAAGCTTGTTAGGTAGGTTACTCACTTTTTCCACTATCCCTCTTGACTTCAATATGTTCTGTGAGTGACAAATTTTCCAAGCCTTCTTTCCACATGTCTCCTAGAAATTTCAACTGTCTCTTTATGATTCTAAGTATAAGCATCTTTTTTGTTTCCATTTTTTAAAAACTTCCTCATTGCTCACATCTCCTATCTATGGTATTCTCAGCATCTTTCTGTAGAACCATATCTCTGTTGTCTCATCTCCTCATGTGTGAAGAAGTTGTCCAGCATTTGCTGCTATATAGGAGGACCAATATTAGATAGAAACAAAGAAAAGAGGGCTTAACTGCTAACAAAATTGTCCTGCATCTTTAGGTATTCCAATGCACCTTCAGATTTCGGTGTTAGATTTTCTTGATTTTGACATCTCCAATTCAAGACTCTCATTCTGGGCTGTTCCTTTTGCTGGCAACGATGTATCCAGTCTTCTTACAATTGAAATTGATAGTTAGTACTTTCTGTGACACTATTTAGCTATGGTAATTAGTTAACTAATTAACCATAAAAATTACACAAGAAAATACTGCGAATGGAAAAGAAGATACCCTGATATTTTTTTAATTTTTTATGTTAAAAATAAAATCGAGTTACTTTTTTCAAAAACCCAAGAACAAGATATCATTTTAAGTGCTGGCAAGGCAGGGTCGTATGGCAATTGTAGAAATTTTGGCATGAGAAAATATTCCGAAATTATTTGCTGATACGGAGTAGAGAGAATTAATATTATTTACTTTTCCAAGATGTCATCTTCAGTACCGACATGTTAAGTAGCCATGTGTTGATTATAAAATTTTGGCATGAGAAAAATATCTTGGAAGAATTGTCGATTTGGAGATAAAGAAATTTATTATCAATTTATTTTTTTTCTCAAGAAGCCAATAGTTCCAGTAAACGCTAACTTCATGAAGAGACCAGATGGCAAACTTTGACAATTGATTGATGGAGTTTGTAAAAAGTGCTGGTTAAGAAGACGCAGAGTGACCAAATGATCTGAGAGATTTTAATGTGAGATACGTAAAAAATTTTGGCCAATAGGAAAAAGAATTTTGTAAACAAAAAAATTCTGGGTTATAATTCTATAAAGATTTATTATTTAGCATTTTATAAAGAAATAAATTTTAAAAGAAATCTTTTTACTAAAAAATTTATAAAAATTACAAAATTATCAAAATATGTAAACTACAATGCAATATTATTTAACATTTTATAAATACTTTATATACTTGTGTAACATGCAATCTTGTGTATTCTGCAACCCTCAAATTTACACTTATAAAAAATGATTTTATCATGTATCTTGTCTATCATGTGAGTTCCTTTTTTGAGAGACCAAATTACAATAAACTAATCTCTTTTCCTCTATCTCTTTTTCCCAACTTCTACTATGTCCATAAACAACTGAATGAGAAACAGCTAAACAAAAAAAAAATGCATATTTGTTCTGTTTTTATTTTATAATATGATACTAATATGTGAATATTACATGCATTATTATTGGATACAGTTAAGTCAACATGAGTTTTATCAAAATCATGTTTATTTTAAATACAACTGTACTTTTTGACTACAGTAAATAAATATATAGTTTGGTCAATGGCATATACAGTAATAATGGTGTCAAGAGAATATTCATCCTTTTGACACAGCATTTCTTTGCAGGTACAAAGGTTAAATATTGCTTTAATTTTTTTTTACTCATTTTCCTTTCAGTTTATATATATTACTTTTTATTGCAATGTTGATGTCATTTTTATATTGTATGACCATGAAGCAATCAGCAATGCTAATTGATTCATAGATGCTGAGAATACCATAGATAGGAGGAGATGTGAGCAATGCTGATTGATTCATGGTCATAGAATGTAGGAAGTGCAAGAAAAAAAAACTGTTAGAGTAGAAATGATGTTTGCATTTAGCTAGTTCAACAGTAAAATGGTGAAACCTAGCTGCCAATTTAGTAGCAGTCATAAATTCATGTAGTCAGGGTACCAGAAAAATATTTGTAGAACAGGCAGAGTGAAGCCATGTCATTGGTGAGAAAGTGACTGGAGACAAGATGCATTGTCAGGATCGATTATATTGAAAACACTCCTCTGGATTTTGCAAAGGATCTCAAGATAGTATCATTTTTCAAATAATTTGATTGTTTCATGTCTATTAAACATATAAAAAATTCCCTCTGGCATGACTATTTGAGATGGTATGTGTATTTCTTCTTCTCTTCTTTTATGTGACATGTCCCTTCAGGAAGTTTGTAATCATTGCTCTTCACAATTTTCTGTTCTTTGTCACTCTTAGTAAATTTTGCCTTTTTGTTATCTATCCTGAATGGCATTCTGCCATCCATTTACACAGGCTCGTTAGGTAGGTTATTTGCCGTTTTCCTCTTTCACTTTTGCCTTCAATATGTCTTGTGATTGTCAAATTTTCCAAACCGTCTTTCCTCATTATATACCCTAGAAATTTATCTGATGTAAAGTGTCCTTTTGGCTACCATTTTCTCTAAAACTTTGCTGTTGCTCACATGTTCAGTCCATGGTATTGTCAGCATCTTTTGTAGACCCACATTTCTATCAACTTGAGTTTCTTCTTTATTGGTATGGAGATTGTCTGGCTTTCACTGCCATATTGGAGGATTGATATTATATAACAGTTCAGTACACCTTTGTTTATAACAAAATTTTCATATTTCTTAATGCCTTGCTTAGCTTTGGAATGCATCTTTCACTATCTCAATGCATCTTTGGATTTTGTTGTCACACTTTCAGTCCCCTGTTAAACACTTCTCAGGCATTTAAATTGTTGTACTTGCTTGATTTTGGTATTTCCAATTTGTAATTTGCATGATGGATTTTCCTTTTGTTGATAACTATGAATTCCATCTCCTTGAAATTTATTAATAAATCTTACTTATTATAAAACGCAGATTGTGTGTGTGTGTGTGTGTCTGTACGTTTATATATTGGATCGGATTTCCTACATTTTTCAACAAAACTTCACAGGACTGCATAAAATTACCTTGCGGTGGTTCTGACAGTGCCAAAAATTGGAAAAACACAATTGTTTTTGTACAAAATCAATTTGAAAACATGATAAAACACGATTCTGTCGCCAGAATGAAAGGGGAACAACTCATATCAAGTTATACTTATAAAACCCAGGTTGTGTGTGTGTGTGTGTTTGTTCGTTCGTTTATATATGGGATTGGATTTCCTACATTTTTCAACTGATTTCAAATAAAACTTCACTTTTTTTTGGCAGGTAGTGTTTCTTATTGTCTTGCACACACTTTTTTTTTTTTTTACATTCAGAATGCTTTAAAAATTCCATTTACAAGACAATTGTTTATAATAAAATTCTATTCAATCGATAGACTCATAATGATTGAAAACAATGTTTTTGTTTGAGTTTGGGTTTGACCAATTCATAAAAAAAACAAAAAAACTAAGACATGCATGTCCGTCAACCTTAAACAATAATCTTTGTCAATTTTATTTTTCAGTCTTTATGATGGTTGATACTTGATCTATCTCTTACTGTTACATCCCTGGGCAACGCCAGGCTCTACTGCCAGTCAATAATATTTTGCAGTATCCAGGAGATCACAAAAACAGTTAAATTTAAAAGATTTCTGCTGGTTATCTTTCACTATGGTAATATTAGCCATTTCCTTTTAAGGAGATATTCATCATTCATTGATTGAGAAGCCAGTACTACTTTTGGTTGAAATTAATAAAATCTTTCTCATAAAACATTTTTTCAGGAAAATAGGTTTCTCAAGTCCAGTAGCTTATCACTCTTTCCAGTATTGGTAAGGGTTTCTTTCCTAACCTTTTATTTGAAATAGTGTGGGACCTCCACATCTTGATTATATCATTATTTTCTCTTCAAGTTAGATGTGATATAAATTTTAGTTGTTGCAGATGTTGAATGTCCTCAAGTGATGTGGTTTCTATTATTTGGTATAGTTCTTTCTTTGTGATTCTATAGTGCCAGTCTACAAGGTTTGAAGAAGGATGGTCTTCACCAAGATCCACAGTCTTCACTCACTCAAAGCCATTTTTAAACATTGATGTTAGAAAGTGGTAGTATACAGCTAACAGTTTAATGATTTCTGAATGGGGTTTGGTGCCATGTATGGCATCCATATGAAAGTTTTGATCTAACAAGCCTATTTAAGAACATGATTTGAGTTTTCACTTCTAGTGCAACTTATTTAATCAGCCTCATCTTTAAGTAACTTGAAAGGAATATGAATTTACATCTTGTTAGAAACATTTTCTGCAATTCCCTAATAGAGTTACTGGTGCTAATTTTACAAGTAAATCTATACCAGGCGTTGGTGGGAATGGGAATTAACATTATGTGAAAAGCCCAGATATTCAAGCAAGTAATTTGGATTTTACTAGAATACCAGAAGTATTCTAGATTTTTTATTGTTTTTCTATTTAAAGCAGGCTGTAGGAGAAACAAAAAGCATTTAATTCCAGTAAATTTTAATTAGCATCTGAAATTGTCTGGGTTTTAACTTATGACTTAAAAGGTTTGTTTTTTTTACTCAAGGGATCAAGCAAAACAAAGAGCACCCACCTGTCAACACTACTTATTGCTAGAAAACGGAGAGATAAATAAATC